ATGATGGAGTCTTCTAGATGTTTCTTTAGGTCGAATAACGACTATAAATTTCACAAGTATTTATCTATAAGAAAGAAGAAAATCGTTTGTTAGGAAAGAGGAACGCCGGTTAAGAAGCTTTCGTTTCATTATTTTCTTCTTCTTTTCCTTTTAATGACAAATTTTCTTTCTTATTTCATTGTGTCGTGAAAGGCGCATTCGACGTTTATGCTGACACAATAGAAAGGTAGATGAAGATCTCCTAGTATATTATTCTCTGAGTTTCTCATACCACTAATTGTTTCTAATTATTATGCGTTATAATAAGTCAAATTATAGAGTTACAAACATAATTTTCATTCGCCACTATTTTGGCTTTTTCCTCCTTTCGACGATAAAACATACAAATTACATTTCGCATAGTTCGAAACTGTTATTAAAGAGCTATGCTAATGGTAATACGGTCGGAACAGCGTAATTTGACGGTAGTAATAATGAACTATTAAATCCAGATACATTGAACCAGGTCGTACAAGCTTTATCGATTCCTTATCCATAAATGTATGTATCTCGTAAAGGAATCTTCATAAAGAATATATATAGAACATAGAAATTAGCTAATATCGTATTTCACAAAGCCACGCGATGGATGGTATGTCTAATCACGAATTCGTTAAATAAAATTAAACAAATTTAATCGAAAATATAATTTTAACTTCGTACGGTTCGTAAAGTCGATTAAATGATTTCTCATCCTTTTTTTTTTCTTTTATGCACACTACAAAACGACGATTTATATCAAATATGTTTTAAAATTGTTCGCTCAAGAATAAGAATGAATAAATTAATTATGAACTAATAAAGTATCCAAAGAATAAAATAGAACGGAATAATCGAGGCACTTCCTTACCGTTGTTTCGTTTTATTCGTTGGATTCTTCCTATATTCGAATAATTCGTATTAATATTGTACTTCGCAATATTTTTAATATGAAATTCGAACTTCCCTCGTCAACTTCACTTGAAATACGATTCGTAATCAAGCGTTTTGCGAAAATGAGTGATTTCGTTTTCTAACGTAGTATTACCTTCTTTCGAGTATTCGCGTATTCTATGGCGATCGAAGCATAAGTGCGAAGAAACGGCGGGAGTTTACAAATGGCGACAACGCAACGTGATCCGCGTCCGCGGTGTGCGCCGAACGAACTGATCCTCGGCCTTCCAAATACTCGCTTGGTAAGGCTTCACCGAGCTGGCTCGTTTCTCTTTTCTTCCTCTTTTTCCTTCCTTCATCGTCATCGTCCTCGTCCTCGTCGTCGTCAACGGCATCGACTTTGCGACAAGAGGGGAGGCAGTATTATTCCAATTGTATAGCGAAGAAATTTACAATGTACGAATAATCTAATGTAATCGTACTTAATGGATACTTTTCAATCCATATTTTTTCGTTTAAATCTTCGTTTATTCACAATTAATTGATTTATTTATTTATTCAATTAATTTATTTGCAATATCTGATTTAAAATTATTCAAATCAAAATGTAAATAATTGTTACAAATGGTTTTAGAAAACGACTAAATAAAATTTAATTTCAAAGTTATCATTCGACGAAGAAAAATTAATAATAAAAGATAGATACGGAAAAACAATTATATAATAAAATTAAAAAGTTCATATACATATATTTATACTCAATGTCTAATATATTTTTGCAAATTATAAACTCTTATTGCCAAGTAATGATATCAGGAAAATAATAGAAGATGAGGAATCTGTTTTACGACTCTGACTCACGAATCCGTTTGAATCTATCATCTGTGGACGGTGACAGAAAGAGAAAAGGAAAAAAAATGAGAGAGAGAGAGAGAGAGAGAGAGAGAGAGAGAGAGAGAGAGAAAGAGAAAGAGAGGGAACTGCGAAAGCTAACCTTCGATCGGTAAAAATTCGACCGGCGAGTGGCCGGACCTTGCGCCCTGCATAATTCTTTCTCAATGCGCCTGCGCGAACAAGAAAGAGAGATAGAGAATGAGAAAAAGAGGGGAAGGAGATCCGTGTAAAATGGAGCCTACTAGTGACGGTTACGGGCGATCGCGAACTCGTATGTATGGTAGTATGTACGCTTTTCTTCTCCGTCGCGCGTAAGCGACACGACTCGACCTGAATCCTCTTCTTCCTTCAATGCTCTATTCGCTCGACTTCTGGTATATTTCCCGAGGCTATTAATTCGCATCAAATTGTCCGAATCGAATGAGTTTCGCGAAGCGGGCGATGATCATTTATAACTGGAATATTAAACGAGCTTTCTTCGATATGTAAATGATAATCGAATAAGTACTTATATTGATTACGGATAAATATTTTTTACAAATTGATTGTTAACAAAAAAAAATATATTGTTATATATAGTATATGTAATCGTTCAAAGATTTATTTCCACAATTAATAAAATGAATAACGGTTAATTTTTCAATGTAAGTTTATTATATGTAAAGTGTATATCTATAATTTAGATCAATATTGATCGAAATCATTAATTATTATGTATTACCTTTTTCGATGAATTTAATACCATAATAGAAAGTAGATACGTAAGTTTTGATAATTATTAAAAAGAATTTATTACATATAACGTTGATAAATTGATAAATAGTTCTTTTAAAATTTCTCTTTGAATCGTGACGCGATGATCTAATAAATTTCTTTCTTCTGAAACATAACGTTTAATGAATATTCGTGTACATGTTCCTTCCGATATTTTACGAGCCATTAAGTTAGAAAATATCGGCGATCGTGGCTTTAGATTCATGTTGAGGTCTAGATAAATGACTCGAATGACGATGTCGATATATTGTAACACGCGTCATGTAATCCATATTACGACGGGCGTTCATATATTAAAGTCTAAGTCATTGTCGACTGTTAAGAAAGGATAAGATTTTATAATTTAAATTCACGTATAGATTTTCGTTTACGTGGATAAAATTATATTTCTTTTGATACTTGAAAAATATTAGACGGATGAGTTCAACGTGTGTTTCTAATTTGGTATTTATTTGGTCGAGACCAAACAATAGAATCTACGAGTCGTATATGCGCGCCATTGTTCTCATGTGAAGGGTTCGTAAGAAATTATCTTACGTGATAAAACACAAAGGACAGATTTGTCGTGCTCAAAAAAAAAATGTATATATATATGTACGTACATACATACGCATGTATGTTCATATAGGCGTATATATACGTATATATATAAAAGGACCCACTTCTCTCGACGTATCCAATTAAATGCCAAAGTGGACTGACTTCATGCTGACCGCATAGTGTTGCGCTATCAGTATCGACAGTGGGTCAGTCAACAACGGGGTCAGCCGAGGGCGAATCCGGCGTGCGGTCGACCAATCGCGTTCGCTCCAACGATCGAGCCGTCGTGACAATGAGTATTAACTGTATATGCACGTGCAAAAACCGAATTGATGTTGTTCTTCCGCAATGGCGTAATATCGTGACTTAATATATGGCAAAAAAATGTGGGAATGTATCAAAGAAAAACAATAGAATTCAATAATTATTCTAAAGACAAATTATGAACTACTTAAACGATCTTTTTTTATTAATTCATTTGTTTATTTAAAATGAAGGATATTAAATACCTTTGATGTTACAGACAATATAAGATGAAAAGAAATGATCGACAATTGATGTTTTAGAAAAATCATAAAAAGAGAATAAGGAATTATGAAAAGGGATTTATTTTTATGATTATACGTTTCTACGCCCTTGCATTTTTAACCTAAGGCGCGTAGCGGTCAGCAGACTTACGCATAAAGCGATCATGACGATGATCAACGATCGGTTTTAAACGATCGCCTTTTACTTCTGTTTTTTCTTTTCTTTTTATTTTCCTTTTTAAATACGAGATGTATCAATGACACGAGAAAACAAGAACAACCAACTATTTCGTAACTCGTGCTTCGAGCAATTCATTTTCATGAAGATTATTTCAAATGTTTGTTTTTAAAAAGTTCTTGATTTTTTTTTTTTTATTTTAACAATCACGATAATACCATGTTTTTATGCGTCTATATCTAATCTTTTATAATATTTTTTTTTGTAACTGCATCACGTTCTCCAGCGAAATGCCGTCGCGATAGTTCTTTGAAAAGTTAATAATACGAATTAAAAATAATTTCTTGTATACGACGATTCTACGAATGGAGCTCATATGTTTTTCTTTCTTTTTTTTTTCCCTTTTTTTTTTTTTTTTTTTTTTTTGATTAGAAAGAAGAAGAAGAAGAAAAGAATTCGAAGAAATTCTTTACCGTTAAATTCGAGACGATTGCCCCTTTTCTCGGCAAATCCAAGATAAGAAAAAGAGCGCATAATTACGCTCTGAGTCGGGAATAAATAAGGAGTAGGTGGTACGAGAGACGAGATGAGACGAGAAACAAGGTTTGAAGTGGGTCAGCAGGACTCTCGGTCGTGGGAAGTCCGGGTTCGTTTCTCGTTTAGCCAACAGGGCGGGCAGGTTCTGCTTGTGTCGGGGAAAATTACTGGGTAAAGAGAGAAGATTATAATAAATGAAAAATAAAAGAGAAAAGTACCGACGTGACCGCGTGAAAGACGATATGACTCAAATACAATGATACATTTTATTCTATTTTTCATTTTTTTTTCTTTTTTTTTTCTTCTTTTTTACGTGCATTTTTTCATCTTATACAGGATTCCGTCGAGACTGAATGAAGGGAAATGAGAAAAAAGAAAGAAAAAAGAAGGGGCGAAAGGAAAATTTAGTTACGACTGAACGAAAAATTTTTTTCCTATACAAACATCAAATTTGTTATTTCCTTAATATTTCACCACAATTATTTGTATACTTGTATACACGCTTTTTCAACTTTCTTTAATCTTATAATTTTCTGTTTTTCTCTTTTTTCTTTTTTTCGTCTTTCTTGGTGCGAAGGAAACGGCGATCATTGTATTTTTCGATTATTATTTTATATGTACCTTTCATCTTCGCTTTTTTAGTAGGCGCAATTATATAGATACATCATGATAAATATACGCTTTCAGATAAAATAATCTCGTTAGTTTGCGTGTCTTATCGTCATCGTCTTTCTATACTCTAATGTATTTACAAATTCTAATATCTTGAATTACTTTTTCTCTATTTTAATTCTATTTCCTTATAATAAAGGAAAACCTTTATTTCTATAACTTATTTGAACATAACATATTTTTTTGGTTTTCCTCTCTTTCTTTCCTTTGTTGCTTACTTGTTTTTATCTTTCCTTTTTCTCTTTTCTCTTTTCTGTATAATAACATCTATCTAATTAATACTTATTTTACATTTAACATCAATAAACATTCAGAGCTAATAAAATTTTGCATCATCCTGTCTCAATTACTCGCTGTTTCATCTTTGTAAAGCATTCTTAAGCTATATAGTAAGAATGTCAATTTTTCCAATAAAAAAATATGTGCATCATAGATTTTTGTTAAACGTAAGTGGCCCCTCTGTGTACAATATATACTGCACAATAAATATGAAATATTTATTTATTCTGAATGATACTTTCTAAGTAAATATAATGTGCAGTAAGCGAAGGACGGATCTTATTAATATTTAATATTTAATATTTAATATTTAATATTTAATATTTAATATTTAATATTCCTTTTTGAAATATATATATGGATTAAAATCTTAAAAGAATATGTTACGTTATAGCATAAAATGAAATTAAAAATTATATAATGTTTACAAAATATTGAATCTTGATTATTAGTTTATGTAGGAAGGTATCCTAAAATTCTTTTTAAACTTCTTAAATATTGTGCAGTCATATTGTGTTATCAGAGTATCACTTTATATGGTTTATAAATCAGAAGTGAGAGAATCTATATCAGCATCAAAAGTATAAAATACATCAATTTTATTACGTGAAAATATAATCAAGAAGGTATAATTTAAATTTTGGTATAGGCGATGAAAAATAATTGTACTGTGCTATTTACTTGGGATGCAATTTAAAATAGTTGCTGCTTATAATTAGGATACATAAGAATTCTCATCTCTGATATAGATACAATGTGTTGACACAATATATTAAGTTTTTATTAATTATTAAAATTTCATATTCGTGTTTTAAATATTGATTGAAAAATGCACTGACAATATCGTGAATTTCTCAATTTTATTATTAGAATGAATTTCTTATTTAATATCATCAAAAAATTCTGATGATTAACAGCAATAGAGTGAGAACTTTGGATATAATTTGTTTAAAATTAAGTATACTTCAAATATAAAAAAAATGAAGTTTTATACTTATGTTCACTGACGCACACTCTCTTCCCATGTAATAGCATTCGAAATAAAAATAATAATATTTGTTTCTATTTTACAGCACAGTCTATAAGCCTCTTTGTCACAAACGCACTATCAATTGCAAACAACTTTCATTCAATCTTTGTCATCCTTCATAAAATCAAATCATCTTTTAAATGAGCACCGATGTTGATTTTACTTCTTAGCAGAGATATTTCTATCGTTCCTAGCAACGAATTTAGTACAATAATAATTTAATTTCTTTTCAATAATATTGGGGAACCTTAGGAACTTTTTGTATTATCATTTTGAAAGCCTTTAAATAAAAAAATATTATAAAGCATATTAAAAAGAAATTAATACTCTTAATATGTTATATTTCATTTTTGATATATGATTAATAAATAGCTATTAAAAATGCAGTTAAGCATCGTAACTATTTTTTTATGCTATATTTAATTAATTTTTACAAACGTTAAGTTGAAATTTATCAAAGTTACATACGATTATTTATTTATACGGACACAAAAGTTATCATTAAGAGTTCAGGAACGACGACATCTCTGAAACATTTGACACACTGATAATGACGCGCATATCGGACAAAACATTGAGATCGGTACCTAAAATATAATAATAATGTATAATATATCTTGTGTATTAATTTTTTTTTTTTACAAACTAATTAATATTCGCGGAATATTACAGATCGCATTTGATCGCGGCATTAAAACTTGGAATGTACAGTTCTAGATACAGAAAATTATTCGAGTTCACCGATCATCTAGTGCAATTATTTACGACGAGAAACCTTTTATATTATGTAGATTATAGAATATGACCTACGACGTTTTTTCACGTCAAATATCACTTTATAATCTAAGTAAAGCTAGTTGACTTTACATGAAATGAGGAAAACGATTTCTCCCGATTTTTTTATACGTGTAATAAATTATATTTTTAATATAAAGACCAATTTTTAGAAACATCAAGTCCTATAAAATAAAATTTTCGATTTATCGTATGACAATTTTCATTCGATACCCAATGTGATTTTACATTCTCAAACTTATTAATAGTTATCACTATGCCATATTTTGAAAACTACAGATCACAAATTATAATTTTAAGATGTTTTATCATATTTTTGCTATAAATAGGCTGTATGCTTGCTACTGTGTTCGAGAGCAGCAAGAACATCTTGTTTTTGTCTAACATACAAACGCCCCTTTTTCCACGGATTTTGTAGTTGGAGGGGTTTAAAATCATCCCTTAAACAACGTTCCCTCGCACCAATTACAGCAACTAGGCAAAAATTTGGTAATTCATCGACTGTGTAGATAGGCCCATCTTGACCCTTTAAGACTACAGCCATATTTAATTGCTTGACAACAAGATCTACAACTTCTCTTGCTGTGGTTCGTGGTGTTACATGTAATTTTAAACTGGTACCAGAGGCCAAACCAGTTTCATAGGCCGCATAAACCTGTAATGATGAAAATATTTTTTTTTTCAAATAAACTAAGTAAAAAATAATGTTATAAGTTATATAAATACGCATTTTTTTTGCAGCATTATTTTCAATATTATACACGATTCTGTAATATGTGTCATTGAATGTTTTACTTTATTTACATTGATCGAACATAGATTTTGTTATAAAAGCAATATGCAAAGTATTGGCACAATCTTTATATATACAACAATTTGTTATCATTGTATAATAATAAATATTCATTTTATTATAAAAATTCCTAAAAAAGATTTTATCCTTTATACATGTATCTGCAGAATTAAAATAAAGCACCAGATTATTCATTTCGAAACAGAAATTTTGTTATAATTTTATATTTTGCTATAATAATGTATTAATATTTGCAAAAAAAAAGAATAGAAAGCAATTACATAAGCGCTGAATTACATTTTCAGAAAAAAAAAGAAAGCTGTAATATAATGTGAGCTATATTACGCTGCTGAATCCTGCATCTGTCTTGAGGTGATAAAGCAACAAACAGTAGATGTCTCATGCTATACGTATTTAAATACGTATTAATATATCAAGTAATCTTTCAAAAGCAAGACAGCACAATGTAATTAAATTTAGCGATGTAGCGGCTTACTTATGTATCTGCTAAATTGGTTTGCACTAGAAGACCAAGTGAGATGTTTTTAACTATAATCAGGTTAAACTTGTGTCCCCTATAAGGAAAAACAATATTTAAATGCACTGCTGCATATCGAATAGAGAAGCTTTCAACTGAAGTTTCAATTAAGCATAGTATCCTATATGAAGCTTTTAAAATCTAAATTTAGATAACTATTGTATTTTTCCTGTGCAACATCAAAATGGTTACTTTACTGTAAACTAACGATAATTACTTTATTACTACCTTTAATAAAACAGTGTCTATATAACTATTTTCTACTTAACTATAAGCTCTCTTACTTAATACCCATATGGAAATGAAATATTGTATTTTGTTACCTGAAGAATACCAGGTAGAGGTGCTGGCATCATCGTTGCTTCGTCTTTTTCTTCTTCCGATTGATTATCCACTACTGAAGTAGCCATGTTTGCTAAACTAGCCGTTGATTTTGTCGTTTTGACTTTTATATGTCCTGGTTTTAAGCAAATACTCGAATTTGGAGTTGAATATTCGTCGCTACTTAGAGAATGAAGACTGTCGGAATTTGTGTTACTAACACTGAGGAGACTCGTATTGGTGTTGGTCATAGCCGTTGATACGCTTAAAAGCGATCCACCATAGATAATCGGTTTTATATTAAGTAATGGACTGGTACTTGCCGATGCAGAAGTGATGGTGGCCGAACGATTTCTAGGACTGTGTTTGTACTTAGTAAGTAAAAGGGTGTCCTCAGATTTCGAAGGTGGAAGCCGTACATTCTGCATAGGTACTAAATGGTTGTTACTGCTAACGTTCTTGGTATTGGTCAAATTACTAGCACTACTTATAGTAACGGACGATTTTTGAGGTTCTGAATTTGTTGAAACGTTACTGCTCTTCCGTACGTATTGAGCACTAGGTAATTGTTGCTCGCTTTTGCTAAATTCGGTTGTAAGCAAATTGGAAGAGGAATTTGTAACATTTGGACCTGGCCAACTTCCACGTCCTGGACTCGATTTGACAAGTTTAGGATCCCGAGGTGGTAACTGAAGAAGACTTCTTTTTAAACTGTTGCTGTTACTTTTATTTCTGTCTAGACCTAATAGATGTTTCATAGATATGCCAACAGTTTGTGATGTACCCTAAGCATAAATCGAAAGAATATTACAATTATATTTCCTCAAATTTGTTCAATATTCATTACAATATAGTTAGAAAACTTACGCTTTGTTGTCCAGATCCACGGTCTCTTGCAAAAGTGATGACGTCGATAAGCCATCTAGCACCCTTCCATACTGTGTTTACCTGAGATTGTAGATCTTGTAACCTCGCAAGTTTATCTTTTGCTACGCTTAGTTCTAAAGAGCTAAAAGCTTCTCTATGATTATGCTGAGCTTGTGCGGTGTCTAATTCCAATATACAACTTAGCCTTGAATATCGATTAATCACGTCCTTTTGGTATGTATTTAAGTGAACCATTTCGAATACTTGAATAGGCAAGGAAAGTAAATCTCCTCGTTGTAAAAGAATTTCTCTTGTTCCGGGTACACAACACGCTGTTTCTGCAGGAGGTACGGTAATAAGAAATGACACATCGTGCGTGAGATCTATAACTTCAGCATCATAAAGTCGATGTACTAAAGAATCCTCTGGATTAATTTCCATATAATTAAAAAGACGACGTGACGTTGCGGAGACCAAATCGACGAATAATTTCTGTTGTTCTGTACCCTGACATTCGTTCGTTACATTCTCTTTCTCCTCTGAATCTTTGACAGAACTGTCGGAGGCATAAATACGAGTTATCCTCTTTAGATAATCCCATTCCTCCCTAATAAAAATACAGTATATTCAGTTAGATCACTCGTTGTGTGTGTGTGTGTATATATATATATATATATATATATATATATATATATATATATATATATTTGCAGTATTATAAAAGAAACTTGATTACTTACGCGGATACATGAGGGTTGTCACGTATTTTACAATGTGGCAAAACATTAGGTGACTTTGCTGGTACAACCAGTTGTATAAGATCCACACTACTTTGCATTTTTAAGTAACCAAGGTATAAACCCCTTGATAATTTGATACTACTGACTTGGTGATATGTCATTTGTTCTTGTATACTGGCCATCAAAATATCCGCCACGTTGCTATCTTCGTGAATTATAATTTTTTTAGTGACTTTACTCAAAGGAAGCCATCTACTATTTAAGACTGATACGAGTTTTGGTGATTTAACGTAGTTCACGGTTGCAAATACAAGGGTTCCTTGAATGTCTCTTATCGGTTTATGGTATAACTGGCCAAGATCTTGTATACATAGTGCAGCCTAAAAACATAGTTGCATCAATTAGATTGATAAAATTCTTTTCTATAACGAACTCGTTGATTCAAGAAAACGAATGAAAAACTTTCTAATATAAACCAACCTGCATTTGTGCAGCAGCCTGGAGCAATTTTATCCTAAAGTGATTAGTTGAACTGCTGTGACTTTTCTCCATATCTTGCCGGAGAGTCTTTACGTCGTCCCACGTGCATGCAACTTTCATTAACCAGTGAAAATCGTTATAAATAGAACTAGGATAGGTTTCATCGACCTCGATCACAGGTAAAAAGTCTTCATTGGTGACGAGAACCTTATCCTCATGATAAAGCAAACAAGCAAGAAACACGCCACGCCGCAGATTCTTCTGAAACTTGCTTGTTGCGGTAAAGAGTTGCTTTATCGTCGTTTTCTTTTTATGATTGCGTCTTTGAACTGCTGGTGTCTCGTGCGTATATTCCGGACGTCTTATATCGGTAAAGAGAGTGTTCAATTGTTCTAAACGTCCAGCAAATCTTGGTATCCTGCCGTCAACGTCTCTCCAACCTTTATAAACATAAATTCACATATACAAATATATTGTTAAACTCTTACAAACTATAAACGTGATAAAACTTACTACTAGGAGTGACATGAGCAGGAACCGAATTCCTAAATCTGCTGTAGCCTTTTAAATTTCCCGCAGCCGCACGGAAATAATATTTTTGTCCTTGAATGAGTCCGTCGATACGGCATTCTCTTTGTTTCATATCGAGAACCTCTCTTTCACCACATATAGTAGAAAAATCCTCCTTAAGACTCCACTGAACTTTGAATTTCGTACAAATTGGAGAGTCATGTGAATCTGGTTCTTGAAATTTGACTGTCACGGAGGTCGTTCCGGTAACATCGACTGTGACCATGAAAGGCATGTCTGGTGGTCCTGTTATGACAAATAAATTGTGTTTGCATTACTATATTAATTATTTTTAAAAGACTTTTAAATTATCTTATTATTAGTAAAACAATAATTTTAGCTTTTTAAGGAAGCTTATATAGATATCGTTAAAGCCATTCATAAATATAAAATTTAATAAAAAGATACATACTTGCTTGATCGAAACCTAACAACATCTTTCTCAATGCTCGAGCTCTCCTCTCCCAGAGAGCTAGTTGTTTGTCTTCGGTGCTGCCTCCGCATCCCGTAAGATTATTATGCTGCGTCGAGAAACTGGCTCTGTGGCTGCTCGGTGGTTCCAAAAGAGTGCTACCACCGCTGCCGGAAGTGCTGCCACCGAGTTCTTGGACTCTATGTTCTGCTTCCGACAGTAACGACGCCAAATGACTGCCCAAGGACTCCGGTGACTTGACTGCAAATAAAGATATACTATTACTATAAATGGTAAGAAATAATCTCTCTCTGTCTCTCTCTCTCCTCCCCCCGTCTCTTTTTCTTATATGACACGTTTCTTTTTATGGTATTGGTAATTTTCGTATGAGATTTTTTGTTGTGTATTGTATGGAGATGAGGATGATGTATAATAATTAACACAAGCGATCACACATTGATTATTTAATTGTTGTTTTTGTAATGGTTGTAAAATGAAAATATTGAAAATGTTACATTTAAAAGGAAAGCATTTAACGTTAATCAGAGATTTTGATGCCAGTATGAATTACGGGACAGATATTATGCAAACTACAAATTCTCCGAAGACGAGCGACGGTGAATTTAATGCGTCATTCTGTTATAGTAAAGAATCTGGCACACGTGAGAGCAATACAAAAATAATGAACAGGTATATGGCAAGCGATTTAAGTGGGGATCGTAATATTCAAGGGCAAACACTAATAGTAATAGAATCATAAGGTCCATTTACCGCTTCTCGTTTACTACGGTCATCACGTTGTCATATTTGTTCACTATCAAAATGAATAATGAATTATTTTGAAAATTCTATAAAAAATATTTAAATATAATCTCATAATTAATTACCTTCGAATGTTCTTTTAATTATAATACTTAAAGATAGGCATAAGAGTCGGTAAGAATACTCGAGCAAATTTTAAATTGTATGCTCATTATATTGTGACTTTTCTCAAATCATTCTAATAACTGTTTTATCAAAGTTTTAATTATCGTAGTAATTAATAGAACATATCTAAGTATGGAGAGATTTTATGCTTGAAATTAAATAAAAGAAAAAAAAAAGAAAAGAAAAGAGATAATATCTAATATAGTCATATACATAACTTTCCCTTCACTTTCGTTTCTATTATATTTAACTATATCTCTTTTGAAAACAATTCATTTTGAAAATGAATAATAAAAAATAATGATCATTCTCTAGAGCATAATGCATTTCTTTACTTATGAAGATCACGAAAATATTAATTTACAAAACTTATAAGGCGTTTATCGATAATGCCTAGTTTAATTATATTGCTAAGCGAAAATTTCTTTGACTACTTACTATTCACTATTAATACGATACTTCATCGTGGTAACAATGGAATTAACCATATAAGAGCACCCAGAGGACGGGGGCGTTATTATCACAGCTTTCGCAATATTAGTCCAAGGTGGAACATTAAATGGGCGATTAAACGTCCTAGATTTAAAATATCTATTACTTTTATTATTATTATTATTATTATTATTATTATTATTATTATTATTATTATTATTATTATTATTATTATTATTATTAGAATAGACGTTATTATAGAAAGTTACATTCGTGAATCATCCGTCATTTTTCCATGAAATCATTAGGAATAATTAAGAGAGTTTCTCTCTTTCAATTTGTAAAGCGCAGAGAGAACTTTAAAACTAAACCTGTTAATTGAATTTTAATGTTACTACAGTTCTACATTGTCCTTTGTATTGTCCTATTGAGTTTTTATTGTTAATATTTTGAATTATACGTAACTTGATCGTTCATCACAATACTTTAATGTTATCGTTAATATTCTTTGCTTTTGTCGTTGTTAGAAATTTAAATGAATACTTTTTTTTATTTATTTGTTTTTTTTTATCTTTTCTTCTTTTACAAAAGCAAATTTAAGGATGAGATGATATGCAAATGATAATTAGTTGCGTTCAATCAAGCGATGACATTTCGTGAGTAAGCATGAACACTTTAAATGTAAATTTTAAATATAAATTTCATAGAAGCTTATCACAGCTGCAATTTATGGATCTATACGTTACTATGTACGCACGTATGTCAGATATGAATATAGGTAAGCAATATAAATCCAAGAACTATAACGCGCTTGATCGACGAACGAGCGATTCCATCAAGCATATCGACTAATAACGTTCTTGGAGTGCGCAATTCTATCACGTTGATCTATCCAATGGTATGACAATAAAAATAAAGAAAAAGAAAAGGAAAAAGAAGGCTTGACGTAGTTCTTTCGTTGCCGGGATGATAAAATTGCGATAGTAACAATTTCATACTTTTATGAGTGTAACGGTAAAATTAAGAACGAAAAGAGAAATAACAGTTCGTTTATTGATCATTTCTGTCCCTTTAAATTATTAAAGAGACCAATATTTCTACTTGTTTCGATTTCGTTACTATAAAAGGACCATAAATTTTTAACGATTTTGAACGAATGGATACTTGAATATAACAATATTGAAAAATGAAAAATGAACAATGTAATATTGCTCGTTCAATTTCATAATATAATTATTTATAAATTATCTCGATATAAAAATATATTGTGACATTGCAACTGCAGTTTACTATACCGACGGAGCTTCTAATTACAACGACGCGGCTACGATGCGCGGATCGCTTTATTTGGGATCAATGAAGCGACGAAGCTGATTATTGCCAATTTCATGGACGTTATCCAGCCTCAGAATCGAATCGATAGAAAATGGTTCAATGTTGTTGCACTTCTCGTCTTAAATCATCTCCTCAATGTTACACTCTGTTATCTTGGAATACAAAGATGTTGAAAGCTTTTTTCCTTTTTTTTTTTTTTAGATTTTTACTATGAAATAATTTACTATAAAATTACACCAATTACAGTAATTCGACGAACATTTGAGAATTAATTAAGAATTTAAGGTAAATAACTTAATAATATATATATATATGTATATATATATATATATATATATATATATATATATATATATATATCTACGTCAGACAGCTTCTCATATTATACTAAAGAGAATAAGAAATTATTGTTGAAAATAAAAAAAAAGATTTAAAGTATGTTACAAGAATAAAATAAATTACAAAAAGTGAGAGTAGCTACGAACAAATGAAGATCACGTTGCCAATTTAATTTACAGTACGTAAACCTTCCCTCTTGGACAACCATTCATCAGAAGAGATTGACTTTCTTCTCGTCTAAAATTGTACATCTTCTTGTCTCGTTACCTTTCTCACGCTCTCACGCAATTTCATGGAAAAATCTCTTGTCTTCTGTTTAACGATACGTAGTTATCCATTTTGCATTGGTTTTTAGATCAGAAGTATCGCTCAGTTATAAAAATTTACGAAAATTACTTTAGTTTAGTGATAATACTTAATATAATAAAAAAATAAAAAAATAAAAAATAAAAAAGAATTCTTTTGTAAATAATTATTAAATAAAAAATTAAATTCATCGAATTCCTTTAAAAATTTCGAAATATTTTTATTTGAATTCAATAATCATTATTAACTTTTTTCAAAATAATTTTTACTTTCAGCATTTAAACATTCAATTAAGTACTCGAATACGATTGTATTCTATCCATATGTCGTACTTTGAATTTAGATCGAATAATTATTTTTGATATTGGTTTGCAGACTCACCAATACTTATTCTATGAAGTTTTTCATACACATAAATTGAAGTCGATATTGATATCGAAAAAGAAACTGAGAGAGAGAGAGAGAGAGAGAGAGAGAGAGAGAGAGAGAGAGACAGACAGACAGACAGACAGACAGACAGAGAGACAGACAGATAGACAGACAGACAGAGAATGTGAAAAAGGATAGAAGTGCGTAGAAAAAAAACACTTAAAACAAAGATCGTTAATATCAACGAGAGAAAAGTACCTCCGGCTATAGTGTAAAGTTCGTATTCAAACATTTCATGCGTTTATTTTTACTCTCGTTTAATTTTCCTCTTTTTCTTTTTTTCTCTCTCTTTTTCCTCCTTCTCGTTGTCGTCGTCGCCGGAACGCAATATCTCTTGTAACCGTTTTTATTGCCAGCCACGAAATCCTAATTGAAAAATCGTTTCGTGTTTTGCTATCCCATTTTTTTCTCTCTTAAAACCTTTTATATTTGCCAAACAAAAAGTAGAAACACGGTAGTAACTTTGTCAGCTCCGTCGACATATCTTTTTAATTCTCTTTTTTTCTTTCTTTTTTAAAAGAAAAAAGCCACAACGCAAAATACTCATCTTATCTTCTGAATGTCATACATTTTAAAGTTGACTTATCAATGCTTCTATCGTCGTTACTTGATCGTCCTTAGAAAGATTTATTATAAAAAAAAATTCGTTCCCCGAACGGATGCGTTATACGCGTCGATGAACAACGTGAACTCGTCTCGAGGCAGCAACCACATGGAAAATGACGTTCCGATTGATTTCAGTTCTACTTACATTGGTTGCCTTCCTGAGCGCCGAACGTGACCAACATCTTCGCCAGTGGTCTGTTGTTGCTGAGCACTGCGACGTCCAATGGCGATAAACCGTCGCTATTTACACTGGAAATAAAAAAGAAAGAAGGTTAAAGAAAATGAAAGAATACGAGCTCCTTTAAAAAACGAAAATCACTATATATCTTCTCTAACTATTCTTTCTGTTATATTTCCTTATAGAATATAATATTATTGTTTTTTTCTTTTTATTGAAAACAAATAGTAATAATAATAATAATAATAATCAAAATGATTTAAAATCGATATTTCACCGTCAATTTAGGTCACTCACATAATCGTATAAATTTTCTACAAAATTCAAAATTCCATGACATTTAATACATAATAGGTATATTGTAGAAGAAAAATTATCATTCCGGTTAAACCTTCTAAGCATCAATACAAACATTACTATAGCACGTTCATAGGATAGACACGTAAATTGTTGAAATCGATAAAGATACGTTTCTCATATCGTTTTCCAATGACAGTAATTAGATCTTTTGATCGTTTAATCAAGTACAGTGTAAGTGTTCTATAGAATATCCGTAGCATCCGTTGGAAGCGAGCTTACTTACTCACTTGTTCTCACATGAGCATGTTCGAAGTCGATTCGGTGCAAACGATAATCCATTTACTATACACATACGCATACGCATATACACAGATAGAAGCTATTACCTTCCTTTGTCTATGTCGTAGAGAGAATTCAACGAAAGCAAGTTGAATTCAAGTGCGAGAGAGCGAAACGATTGCTTTGGCAGGAAATAGTCAAGATTTGCGAATTTCAAATTAGAATGGGTTCTACTATGGGTAGGTTTATAGAGTTGAGGAAAGCTTTCACGACGTTCCATTTGCCAATTTCGATGAAAAAATGGGAGGAAGAGCAGGAAAAAACGACTGTGACTGTGTTAAGGCAATCAACTCATGACTCAGGACACGTACTGACCTCCTACGAAATTAGACCAAAATTTACATTTCTTGAGGAAGTCAAGTCACATAGAGTAATTATATTTTCATTAATAACTTTCGATTAAAACTGGTTTAGTTTATCGAACATATTATTAAAATATTAACTTACATTTAAAGAAGAAACATAAGATGTCGGATGAAACGTTCGGATGAAATCGTTTCGTTTGTTTCTTTTTATTTTTATACAATTTTCTTACAGACTTCAGATGGTATAAACAATTAAAAAACGTTGAAATTATTTTCACGATCGAACGACGCTCAAGTTGGAATCTCTTTCGATATTGAAGATGGAAAAGTTTCTAACAACACTCAGTTAAAAATCCTCTCTTTTATACATCAATTTACTCTCTTTCTCTCTCTCCCTTTCTTTTTTCTTGAAAATATTCCAACCAACGGAAAATAACTTTGGAGGAACTCGCAGATTGAGTGAAACAACGTATCGTCGACATATAACGTATCGGTTTTCTGTCCTGGTTGTTGTTTCAAAATTTCGTCCCCATACGTTATATATTAAATTTCGGTACAACAAATACTATGTCGGAATATCATTTGTATTTAAATCTTATGTATGCAATGATGTTCGGTTCACTCATACGAAAAGAAAAACAAAATTTTTTATTAATCTGTTTATAAATGTTTTTCTTTCTTTGCTTATAATATTCTGCGTTATGTGTGACCATAAGCACATCAGTTGACAATTTATAATTCTCTTATGTTGAATAAACGAAGTCAAAGTTAAAATAAAAATTATATAAATTTTCTGACCTGTTTACGTCCACGTCGGTCGACTCCAAAATTGTTCTGGCTTTGTCCAAATGACCATGTTCGACGGCTGCAAAAAGAGCTGCAAATGAAATAAAAAAATGTAATAGAATATTTTTAAAAATGATGACATTAACTAGTATGATTCATAAACGTATATTCGAGATACGCATTTTGTTTAGATCAAACTTGATAGCCATAGATAAACGTTTAAATGAATATTACGCTAATGAGAAAAATCAGTTGTACGTGTTGTAATGTGAAAAATTATAAAGAATATACCATGCAAATGTATGTTGAGGGATTGTGCTGAGAGAGGATTAATATGGATCGACGACAAATTATTCGAATGCTGCTGTGGCTGTTGCTTCTTTTTTCCAAAACCTTCCAGGAACTCCATACCTTGTAGCGATTGCAGTTCTATGTAAATAAAAATAAAAAAAAAAAAAAAAAAAAAAAAGAACAAAAATATACAAATAAAAAAGATAAATAAATGGAACTTCAGATAAGATAAACAAACAAGAAAGTAAGAAAATAATATCAAAACTTTTAAATCCCGTTGAAGAGATGAACAAACAAACAAAATTTCTATAAACTCTAAATCTATATATATATATATATATATAATCAATATACTCTAGAAAATAATAATAATTTTACATTGAAACACGAATGAAAATATTTTCACGTTGTTTTTTTCTTTGTTTTGTTTTTTTGTTTTTTTTTTAACAAAACTGAAAGAGAAAGATACCAAAATAAAAGTAAAAATGATTAATAGAACGATTTCTCGTGGATCGTGTTATTTCTCGTAAATACGTTCGACTTGTTTCGAAAGATCTTCGTAGAGAACAAAGAGTTTCGAGTGTTCATATTATCTTGTGGAAATCGATTCTACGCGAGAAAGCAATTAACCGGTGGCAAGAGATCGCTACTAATGAAAAGCTTTCCTGCGGTCTAGCGTACTTGATCCGGAAGTGGTCGTGACGAGAACTCGATCCTGTCCGATTGATTCTAGATCCTTTGACTCCTTTCCTAGTTTCTTTTTACTGGCGGACATTTTGCTACGAAAGCTTCCACCACGAGCATTCGTCCAAAAGTTAGTTAAATTATCGACAGTCTTGTTTCTGCAAGATTTGGAAGGGCAAAGACTGTCCGTATTTTCGATGCATAATCGAAGATCACGATGATATTTTTCTTTCGATCTTGACGAGGCATCGATTTCGGTCTCGGAATAAAAATTCGTCTTTGGTCGATTGTTTCTTTCATATCCTGGACTTTTATCTCTCACGAAACTTCTATCTTCTCTCATACTGAAACTTCTAATGTACTTGAGATCAGATTTGTTAGAAAGTAATGATTTTAAGAGTTTTTGCTCGTCGAGATTAGTTTTTTCGACTACACATTCATATTGTTCCTCACATGTTATTTGTTCCTCATTTTTTACGTTGATTTCAACAGAAGCAAAACTCGAGTCAAGGGAACTGTCCAAAGAGAACGTAGGATTCTCGTAACCGTGTTCGTTCTTTTCTAGCTTTCCCTTAGCTTTCACAGCTTGGTCGTTTTTCTTTTTCGAACTTTCGTCGGTCATAATTTTTCGACGAAAAATACGTACGACTTTCGGCGACTTAGTTTCGTCCTCTATTTTACCCTCCCAAGATCTTTCAAGATCTTTTCGGTTTTTCATGCTTATTCTGTCATCAAGAGAAAGCTTCTTCTCAAAATCCTTCGTAATCTCGCGAGACTCGACGACGTCGATCGACGAATTCGTTTCTAACAACATTCGCAGATCTTCCTGAGGTATATCTTCGTTCTTTTTTCTTTCATCTCTCTTATCGATCGGCTTCTCTTTC